CCCCCCCCCCCCCCCCCCCCCCCCCCCCCCCAATAAAAAAACATCAGTTACTACACTCGATCCCAGCTGCTCAATAATGTGAATTGGAATTAATAATGAACAGTTCCTGTTCGTTGATCACAAGGTGGCTAGAGTATTCTAGACATGCTTGGTCGTAGTTGTTAGTAAACCTAGACTTTACCTTATTGTTTGAGGTGTAAATATCACTTGTCAAAGGAAATTATATTTCTTTGTACAATTTTATATAAAATTAAATAAATCAATCAAAAGAATGAGAAAAATATTATAATTCATATAAAACGGATAAGATAGTTAATGTTACAAAAAAAAATTATGTTCTGAAAATATTATGTAATTTATGAAAAATAAATAATTAATATTTTTATAAAGTGACAAATAATAGAAAGATAAACGTTCTAAAAGTTAGTTTAAAAAGGTATTAATTGACACATAATATCATTAGTATAATTGAAAGGTTTTGCTTTGAAGCGAATAAAAGGAAATTAGACCTTACCATAAAAGCTAGCGCAGATCAATTAATAAATTTCAAAGCTTATTCGCTCGGAAATATAGCAGGAATATTTTAAGGAAATCTCAAGGGTGAACGTGAACTATAACTAACACTACAAGGAAAATTAATTACCAATGAAACCAAATATTGTTGGAAAAAGCTTCCTCAACCTCCTTTCCTTTCTCAAAGCAATTATAGAAATTACTCATGAATTGCATTAATATGACAAACAAAATCAGGTTAGTTAAAGAAAAATGTATTTCATTTCCGTTTGCTGCATTTTCATCTGTGAATATAATCTCTAATTTAAGTTCAGTTCTTGTTCAAATTGTTAGGCCAAAACTCCTTAATTTAAAGATCAAAAATTATTTTAGCCTTGAATTAATATATATACAAAAGACTAAGCTATAAGAAAATTAGGGGGAATATAATAAAATTTAAGACAAAAGGAAAGACAGAAAAGGGGGAAATTAGTAACAGGAATTTACAGGATAAAAATACACATGTCCTGCCAGCTACAACTACAATGCTCATGCATGTCATGTGCAACCTTATCACTAAGGCCGACAATTGATGCAACTCAATTTAACAGCCTCATGAAAAATTTCTGTCACTCAAGGGAGCTATTATTTTAGCATTTTCTTTGTCTTTTCCATTAAAGGAAATAAAGCAAGCATTGTCCAAGAATTTTACCTACATGCATTGCTATGACTTTTGTTCTCTTATATATATATGATCCCCTATTGGTACGCATGTCACTGACACATGACAATCATGACTGCCAGACCCAACCACTTCTTACTCAAGCTACAATATTTATATTTGCTAACTAATTTTGACTAATGGTGATTAATGATTCAATGGCATCATAAGTAAATTGAAATTAAAAACAATTATACGTAAAATTAGATCAAAATATTAAGTAGATGTTTCGAGAACGCTACAACTAATTAACAAAAAACACCTGATCAATACTCTAAAAAGAAAAATATATATATCCACCCCCAAAAAAATTGCAGGTCTATATATACGTTATTACTACCACCAGTTACCATAAAACTTATGAGAACATAGTAGTAGTACTAACTTGATCCCAGATGTGACCTTCTCCCTTGTACTGCATGGTACCAAAAACCCTTTAAAAGATGGTGTGGCATCTTGAAATTGAAAACACCATTACTAACTCCGAAACAGGTTATGGTGTAATATAAAGTTAACATTGAAATAGAATAATTGAGAAACAAGGAGAACAACCACCCCATTAATTGCATTTTAGCTAACTATCTTCAAAGGTACTCATTTCTTGATAACCACGTGCTTTAAATTTGGGCCACTAAATTAACTCTCACAAGGAAGGGATTGAGTTTATCATCTCGAGTATATCATGTATCAACACAAAAACTGGTTAGAAAGTATATATATCTAATGACTTAAGGAGATATACACCGCTTCATATCCAGTTATAGTTCAATGAAGCAATGAATATATGCACCAACCTATTTATTAGGACTAGAGGCTAAATAACCAAGTTGCTCAGCCAATACATCTACATCTTCAACACTTTGATGTTTAATACCCTCATTAAGCAAATCTTGCCAAAACACTTCATCAATATCATTATCTCTACTTTCAAGTTGGATATGGTCTTCCTCCGTTCTCTTTTGGCTTCCACTACTCTCCTCAAGATTCAAAGAATAAAAGTCCAGATCAGGTACTTCAAACTCTAATATCTTGTCAGTACACTCTCGAGGTTCAAGTTTAACGAAAGTTGAGGACTCTTCAGCACAACCTAAGTCACCTACTTCAACAACATCACTAGGCCCTTGCTCAATAGGTCTCCTCCTCTTCTTGGAAAAAGCTTCCTCAAGCTCCTTTCTCCACTCCGTTTGCTGAACCAATTGTTGAACGAAGTTGGGATTCTGCATAGCCCTGGCCAAGAAATTCATCATTTGTTGCTGTTTCTGTTCAGTCCTCTTGAGCCTTCCTTCCATTGCTTGAAGGTGAGCTCTGGTGTTTTGTTGCTGTTGTCTGAGTTTCACCAACTCCACCATCAGAACCTGCCTGTCACGCCTCAACCGATCAACTTCTTCATCTAAACCAAACTGCCCCACCTCAACACAAGACTCAACATCATCTTGCTGCATCGCCTGAGATTGGTGATTTGCTTTCCTCCTTCTAATGCTCTTCAGAAGAATCTTTTTCCCTCTAAGAAACAGCTCATTAGCAAACTCCCACCTATCTGGGTCAACCTTTTTAAACCCCTACAGTCATGTCAAATCCCTTCTTCACTTTCAAATCTATAAAATATCATCAGTGGTAATGCTTTGACAAATGCATATGATCGATAAACTCTTATCTAAACCACCTAGGTAGCTATAACTACAAGTGATAAGTTTATCAAGTCTTTAATATATAAAGATATATAACAACAACACTGCAGATTAAAGGTGCAAATCAATACTGTCTTGTATCATCTTATATTGCAACTTTTCTTTCCCTTTCAAGAATCAAAATCTGGCAAGTGAGGAACCTAACAACAACGAGCCTAAGCGTATTCCGGTCGATCGGCTAGATAAATTATTCGATCTTATTCAACTTGGTTAAAGACTAAATTTTCAAAGAATAGGAAAACCTAACAAACGAAAGTAAACAATGGGGCCAACCAAACCTATCAATCCCAAAAATGACAAATGAAGATAGAGGAATTAATACTAACATATTAATTCGTGAACGTCAAACAAGATAATTAATTAAGTTATCATCGCATCTAAATGCAACCTAATATAATGAAAACAACATTTCATCTCATCAAAGTAAGAAAAACTAGGAAAATAAAATGTGTGTAGAAAGAGAAGTTACTGACATAGGTGTTGAGTTGCCTGACAAAACTGGAGAAATTGTTGTGCTTGAAGAATTTGGGGAGAAGGGCTATGGAAAAGGCCTGTGGATCCCACACGATGAAGCTGTTGTTCCCTTTGCTCCAGGAAACAATATGGTTTGTGGAAGGGTCATCAACGATGTCGTATGTTTTTGTGAGGAATGGAGGAGGACCAGTTTCATGAAGCCCCTCGATTGGTTGGGGAACAACCATGAATGGTTTTTGATCAAAGGAAGAACTTTCTCCAAGAAACTCTTCCTTCACTCGACCATGAGGATTCATATTGGAAGAACTTTCTCCAAGAAACTAGTTCTTTCTTCTCCAAGAACTTTCTTAAATATTCAAGATTGGATTGCCTTTGACTTTGACCTTGAGATGAATGCAGTGAAGTTCAACTATGTATTCATAAAAGGAATTTGGTAGATGAATTTCAAAGAATGACAGGTAAAAGTGACATGAGATGATATAGTGTTTATAGAATTAGTTATAGGTGATAGAAGAAGAACATGGAGGAAGAGAGAGAGAAGGGGGAAGCAGTGAATGTAGACTTGTATGATGATTGGGAAGAAAACTTTTGGATTGGAGCGACGTGGAGGAAGCAGAAGCAATAGCAACATGGGTTTTCTTCATTTTATAAATGGCTGTGCATGATGCCTTTGTTCTTTTCCCTTTTTGCTTTTTTCTTTTTTGGCTGATATTATTGAGTCATATGCCTAATGGAGAAGGTAAAGTAAAGTAGATGCCAAGAGAAATCTAACTTGTCAATCTATCAGATATTTTCTCTCCCTCATGCCTGTTTTTTCTCCTTTGGGAAAGCCGTTGCCCATAGCATTAATTTTGTAAGCCAAGGATATATATATTAAAATGTAAAAATGATTTTTTTTCTTTCAATGACTAGGGTAATGAAAAGCGTGGCCTAACCGCACGTGCTTAAGAAAACCAAGATATTACAAGAGCAAGTTTGTAAATTGTTTTGTTTTATTATGTCCCTTTTTGGTCATCTTCCATGTCTGATTATTGTCCCTTTCCTTCAATCTCATCTTCTGTATGGTTTGTGAGGTGAGTTGTAACTCTCCTACTGCAAGACTTAGCATGCCTCAATACACTTCCGGTTTGCTGCTGCCGTTGTGGCGTACGTGACTAATGAGACATTGCGCAAATTTGGAAAAATATGAGAAGACTCGGAGACAGAGAAATGAAAGATATTGTTGGGTGTTTAATAATAATAATAATAAAAGTAGTAGAACAATAAGAATGAAGTGTCTACTAGTTATTGCCGTGCAAATTTATCTTTAGAGCAATAAATAAATAAAAATGAAATAGATTGACAAATAAAATAAAGATGTATTCACCAAAAATAAAAAATGTGATAAATGATATAACGTAAAAAAATTAAATAGAAATACTTAATAAAGAGAATTAAAGGATCACATTATATTGTTTTTAAGAATTAAAGAACCAACACTACAAATTATAAGTATATCATTTGAAATATAGTTATATTCAATTTTAATATTAATTTTAAATGAAATTTAATAATATATTTTATGTGTAATTATAGTTAATACCCACAATTTTTTAACTATAGTCATTACATCATGATCTTTAACTTGTTATATTGTGGATAAAAAAAAAGACATTGTTTCACTTAGTTTTTGTTCAGAAAATAGAAAAATAACAAACAATTTTATTTTATCCGTTTTGTAAATTTTGTTAATCAACCAAACATTTAATTTTGGAAAACTAAAAATCATTTTCAAGAGGAGTAAACGAACATATCTTGGTGATAATACATTTAATTTTCTTTCCTTTACGTATGGATCTTTCTTCTGCTTTAATGTAACTGACCTCAAACACATGTCACTTAGATCATTGAAATGTAGAGTTCCATAAATTCAGTCCTCAAGAATGTAGTAACGTTTCAAATGAAAGCAACCCATGAACTGATGAACGTTGCACAATGCTATGCGGTACATAATTTCCTCTATCTCGCGTATACATAATACGTTATATTTTTATATAAAATACATTTAAAATTAATGAAAGAAAAGAGAGAATTATTTACAAACTTTAACCCTTAATAGACACTAAACTCAGTTCATAGAAGCACTTTTGAAAAGGGATATGCTCTCAATATACTCAAATAAGAATTGATGTTAGCACTAAACGGGTGTAAAAATTTCGTAAGAAAAAAATCAATAAAGTTTACCCTATTTTAAAAATAATTATTTGCTCATTTCTCACATAATTATCACAATTCGCGTTTTCTTTCAAATATAAAACTAGCTAGTACGTAAAAATTCAAAGAAATCTAACTTAGTTGATTATATAAAGTGTATGAGTTGTGGTAAATTCTCTTATATATATATATATATATATATATATATATATATATAAGCTAGTACAATTATAGCAAGAACTATGTCTAAAATAAGATTGAAAAATAGAATAAAATATTTGTTTTAGAATAAAAAAGTGAGCAAGAGTGATAGAGTGAGGAAGGAGATTTGGAGACGTGTAGCGAAGAGTGTTGTGGTAGGTATAGATCAGCAAATGAAGGTTGTGAAAATAAATATCTAAACACTCAACATATTTTTATTTCATAAATTCATCAAATCTAGTTTTGCATTTGCATCCATTATTATATTAATATTCTATTGTCTATTTATTCGAGCATCATGCCGGTCACGGAGTTGCTCCACCTCTCCAATGTCTCTTGGATTATTTTATTTTATTTTATATATATGTTATTTTGTTAAAAAGTGCATATTCAGATCAATTTATTAATTCTCACGTGATACAAGTTAGTTACTCTTTTTCTACACACACACTTCCTATTAATATTAATTATTTAAAACATAATATACATAATTACTTGATTATTGATACTTAATATATGTTTGAATTAACTTAGTTTATATTTTTTTAATAAAATTTGCTTTTATTATAAGAAAAATTATTAATATATGTGTGAATTAACTTAGTTTATATTTTTTTAATAAAATTTATTTTTATTATAAGAAAAATTATTATAAAGTGACACACTTTATAATAACATAATACGAGTCATTAAAAGTTATTTTTAGTCACACAATAAATATAATATATGTTGATATATTGTTAAAAAAATATAGATATAAATATAGTAACATAAAATATGTTGTTAAATATCATTCAAATTAATATTAAAATTGTGTATAATTATATGTCAAATAAATATATCTACATATATTGTACTTTATTAACACTTTTTGTATGTCGTTATATATAATTTTTTTATAGTATTTAAGGAAATTTTTAAAACTTAATTGTCATTAAACTGCAATTATAATGAAAAAAATGCATTTAAACATTTTTAAATTTATAAGAGCATCTTCAATGCTAGGTTCTTATCTGGTTCTTAAGTTTAAGCATTCATTGTTTATAAGAAACATGCATTGGAACATGCTGACATGTCAGGTCAAATTACTAAAATTTAAACATCGTTACTTATATAAAAGACGGTTGGTTAAGAATAAAAAAATAATTTAATATTTCCTTCTTTCACTGATGCCAACAACTGTAATAAGTAAATATTTTAAAATTTATTAAAAATGAAGTATGAGTGATTAAAAAGTAGAGGTGCTTATAAGCAACTTTCATTGAGTAAAAATTATAAAAATGTAATATAAGTTGCTTATGAGTGACATGACAGTGTAAGATCTATTTAAAATGAATGAGAGCTCACCTATTGTAGATGCTCAAAGAGTTCTTCCAAAAGTAAGGAGGAATTTCTCCTCTCAATTAAGCAATAACTATCACTTTCTCACACTTATACTATACACAAAATTAAGCCAAGAATCTTATATTTATGACTATATATCATTTCCAACACTAGAAAATTTTGGTAGAAGAGATATATATCATTTGCAACGCTAGGAAATTTTGGTAGAAGAGAGGTACACACAAAATAAGTGTTTTGTACGTGTGTATCTCTTTCCTAGTGAAGATTTTTGGCATCTCGGATTCGGAGAGAATCCACATTCTATATTTAGAGGTTCAGTGTTTAATTTGCTTTGGTCAAAAGGAGACCATTTTGATCAAAATCGGATAAATAGTTTTGTATTGTATGTTTCCTTGGGTTGGGTAAAGTTGCATGAAAAATAAGTAGTGAAACTTCTGGGTAGCATGCAGGATCTAAATGAAATTAACGATTTCAAACGTTTCATGAGGTATTTATTGGGATTGCTATTCCCTTTTAAACATAATAATAACATCTAACTCAACGCACTACAATTAACTGAGGATCTAATTGTCATGTTTGTTTATTATTAGTATTTCTTTCTTTCTTTCAATCTAAGCATCTTTCACCTTATTTTACTCTCTTTTAAATGAAGTTTGGTGGGCACCGATTCAGAGCGACCCTTATGATCTAAATTAATAAACAGGGTAATCACTAGTCTGGTCCAAAAAGCTCAAAAGAAAAATATTCAATGCCACAAGATGTTATTGTGTGGCATCAGATCCAACAAACAAAGTAAAAGATAACATAAACAAAGAATCTGAAAATTTTCTTTTTACCCTTGTGCACAAGAGCAAGAAGCTCCAATACTTTCTATGCTAAAATAGCTCCAATATATTTTTCATGCCATGTGATAATTAATTTAACTAAATAAGATTAATGGATATGAATTAAAGGACCGTGTCAAATGTTAATTAGAACACGACTATTTTTTTTAGTCATACGTATGAGAATTGATCTTATTATTTTATGAAATTTGTTTTGATATATCTAAAAGTCCTATACTAAGTCGGAATGTTTGTAAATATTTTTCTTCTTTAATTTTTTCAAATGTTTTTTCATGAACAAAATCATGAGAATCTAATTAATAAATATAAAAAGCGGATTTATAGTCAAATAAGTTCCAAGACAAAATAAAAAATAAAATCGTTTTATATATATAAGTATTCTAACATATCACCCTTTCTTTTATCAATTTAATGTTATGTTATCTCTTATCATTGATAAAATATTTTTTTTTTCTACGTATGGTTGTGAATTATCACTTATAAAATAAAAGATATAAATTATTATGAAAAATATTTACTAATAATATTCGGAAGAAAAAAAAAATACTAACAACAGCATCAAGATTAGAAGCTTGATTATTTGAATGGAAATAGAATGAAATGAAATAAGGATAATGAAAGTAAAGTAGAAATTATTAACTTAATTTTTTTGTAAAAACAATTTTTTATAAAGTATTAACTTACTTTGTTTGTTTGAGTTATGACTAATATGAAAAGGATTTTTTTAAAAATATTACTATCAAAATATATTTTTTATTTTTTTAAAAAAAATATTTTTTTTATAACATTTTGAAAATAATAATAAATAAATTAATGTCAATAAAATTTAATAGAGTCAAACATCATTTTTAATTAATATAAACAAAATTTCTTCCCTTTTTTACCAATGAAAAAAAAATCATCTTTTTTTACTCAGTTTTCCTTATACTTTTATCTTTATATTTCTTTTCTCGTTATTTCACTCTCCTAATCCAAATAAATTATATGATATATAT